AGTTGGTAATTGCCTTATCTTGCCTTGTTTAATCATTTCAGACCCAGAAAACAACCACTTGAACTTTAAAGTTTAGAAATAGTCACACAAGATTTAATAAGGTAGAATATCAGATGAATGGCTTTAGCAAACAAATTGATTACTTGGCTTAGGAAATACAATCACACAGTAACGTGATCCCAGGTGAGGGTAAATGTAAAAAATGCTGTATCCAGATTAGTCCTCCACTTTCCAGAAATAAGGGCTTGCAGGTCAGTTTGCTCCATTGAGCATAATTCGTGCCAGAAATACAGTATATATTCTGGAATGGGATTCTTAATTCAGGACTTCCTATACTCAAATACTGAACCTTTAGGTCTGGTCTAGATCGTCATTACAGCCTGCTCCTTAGTGATGTAACTGAGTTTCTCATCAACTAATGAAATTATTAAAAAGGTTGCTTGGGCTGAATTCATGCTAAAAAATGGAGTGTGAGGTCCAGCCCTAGTGAAGACCTGTAGCTGTTTCTTAACACTAAATGTAAAAAAACATTCACGTCCATGGAGAAGAGATAGATTTGACTTAACCTATGCATTCAGAGACTGATATTTTTATATGTCTAAAGTACTTTGATAACTTCTTAGGCACTTTTTAACCCCTGTTACATATGGAGACCTTAACCTGTACTTTAATAAAGCATGGTGAACAAACTATTCATGTTACACTGCAGTGCCTGACTTTTTTTCATATTTTTTTTTAGATTTTATAATTACATAATAAAATTATGATGATTATTGATTAATCGAAAACACTAAAACCATTAAATTCTGGAGAATGTGTCAGCTACCCCTCCTGTCTCATTAATTAGGATTCGATATATTTTAATTTTAAATCTACCTATGATTGGATTTGCCATGAGAAGATTGGAAAACTAATTCTAAATAACATTTTTATTACTTTGTGTAGGCAGTTAAACAAAGCTGAAGTTGTAATGTGGTAACAGCTTGTATTTTGCCTGAAAGATATCCAATAGAATATTCTCTTTAAGTTTAGGTATTGTTTATCTCTTTTGTGGCTATTATACCTAAAATGTGCCTATCGTGACTTGAAAGCAGTCAAATCCTATTTTCTTCAGTACAGAAACCACGGGCTATAAATATGCAAACAGATGTGCGTGTATAGAAAGGAGAAAAAGATGTACAATTTTCTGTCCTGGAACAGATCTCCAGTTTAAAAAACATCCATGGGTAATCTATCGTGCACCACAAGAGGGGGTGGTTTAGTCATAGTTTTGAACAGGTTAGCTTCAGCAAAACATACCCCTAAATGAAATGTAATGTACCCCTTAACAGACAGTGCTGGAATGTTCTATGGATGTGATTATATTTTAACTCAAACTAAAACACTATGTTCAGTTTTTCAATTCGAGCAACATCGAGCAGTCGTGAACAAAAATTGCTTGTTAGGCACAAAATCCATCCATCTATTTTCTAACTTTTTTATCCAATACAGTTTCGTTGGGCAGCTGGTACCTATCCTGGCATGCAGTGGGAACAAGGCAGGATGCACCCTGGACGAGATGCCAGTCCATCGCAGTAGGCACAAAATTAGAGATGAAAAATTTCACTGCAATTCCTTATGAGTTGTTACCTCACACTACCCGTTCTTGTCAGCTCTCAGGAGCTAAGCAAGGCAGGGCCTGTACTGAAGTACTGAAATAGGACACCACTAAGGAAGACCAGGTTGCTGCTGTAAGTGGGGTTGTTAGACCTGCAGGTAACACTATTCCTCAGGACCAGAATTTTCAGTCCAATGTCCCAGCATGGTTATGGGGACAACTGTGTTGTACTATTCATGGTGCTGTCCTTCAGATGAGTTGAACTGAAGTCCGGACTACTTGGTCATTAAAGATCCCATGACGATGTTTGAAAGAGCAGGGTATGAACCCCAGTGTCCTTGACTTAAGCATAGCAAAGCAATTTCACGCTTCTCTACCTGGTTTTTGGTATGCCGCAAAGTATTCCATGTGTCGAAGCCATTTGGGAAGCATTGGTTTGAGAAATACAACTGGTGACGGGACCCAGGCTAGAACTAGTAATGTCTGAGCTGTAGAGTTTCAGCCTGCGCGCAGAGCAATCGTCTTTTTTGAGAGAATCCACAAATCATGCTTTTCCCTTGAATGAATATCTTTTCAATGATAGGTTTATCTGACATTTCTTGACACCTGCATTTAATTTGTGATAAGAAAGTTATTTGCAGCCTGAACATCCATCTATTTTCTAACAGCTTTACAACCAGTAGCCATAGCACTCTGCAACTCATGCAGGTGTGAGCCTGGTCAGTAACTGGATGGGAGACCTCCTGGAAAAAAAACTAAGGTTGCTGCTGGAAGAGGTGTTAGTGGGGCCAGCAGGGGACGCTCACCCTGTGGTCCATGTTGGTCCTAATGCCACAGTATAGTGACGGGGACACTATACTCTAAAATAGGCGCCATCCTTCGGATGAGATGAAAACCGAGGTCCTGACTCTCTATGGTCATTAAAAATCCCAGGGCGTTTCTCGAAAAGAGTAGGGGTATAACCCTGGCGTCCTGGCCAAATTTCCCATTGGCCCTTACCAGTCATGGCCTCCTAATAATCCCCATATATGAATTGGCTTCATTACTCTGCTCTCCTCCCCACTGGTAGCTGATGTATGGTGAGCGTTCTGGCGCACTATGGCTGCCGTTGCATCATCCAGGTGGATGTTGCACATTGGTGGTGGTGGAGGGAAGTCCCCATTACCTGTAAAGCGCTTTAAGTGGAGTGTCCAGAAAAGCGCTATATAAGTATAAGCAATTATTAATTATTATTATTTATCCACTACAGGTCTGCAGGGGAGCCGGAGTCGCTCTCAGCAAGCAATGGCTGCAAGGCAGGATACACCCTGGATAAGACGCCAGTCCATCACAGACACACAACATGGCCTATTTTCACCAGGGCAGATTGCATCCATCATACCTTTAAAGCTTCCAGATCTGTCCTGTGTATTGATTTGGTTTACTCACAAATTGCAATGTTCCTCTTAAGGAGGTTCCTTTCTGGCACAAAATTCCAAGCACAACAGATCTCAGTGTAGGATTGTGCTTATTCTAAGGTAAAATATGTCATCAGCCTTTCCGGTTTGGTTGTTTTCCACATATTCACTGCACCTTTTTTTTTAATTACACTGGGACAGTTCCCAAGACTTCTTGACAGATGTGCCCCTTGGATTGTGCTAATATACAAAGTAACTCTCTTCCCCACAGGTAAGCCAAATGAAATATGAAGATTTTGGCACTTGCACAGAACATTTGATACTGCAGGTAGGCACTTAATAACACACAGATCTGCACTGATGTTTTAACTAGTGACACAGCAGGAAACATTTTTTTGTATGTGAAAACATAGCTATTATTGTTATTTCAGTGACTTTTTTTCCCCAGAGAAACTTAGCTGGCCCTATATCATTCCCTATAGGATGTCTGAGGTTATAAAACCAACAAATATTCCCTTAAAGGCAAGATTAAATATCGTTTCTGCATGTCGAGTGTTTATTTGATGTGCACATGAAAGCTCCTGCTGGCGAAAAACTGGAAGATCATCTGACACATGACTTGCTGTTTATATAGAAGCATTTATAGGGAGGGAATTTCTGATTTTAATGTAAATCAGTGAGAATCTTTTCTTCATATAGATGTAGTGGTAACCGTTTTAGTTGTACTGTATGGCTAATAAACAAATGCTTCATATATCATCATCAGTACTGTACATACTACATGTTTACACCAATAAGTGCCTATCTTTAGAAATATAATTTATAACCAGGTCATAAATTGAGCCCAATGACGTTTGGAGTGGCACTCCTGTAAACATTCCCAAACCCTTATACCAGCCATGTCTTATTATACAATGTTTATACCAAGGGCTATTGTGTAAATATTGAAGCAATTTGTTTTCATTGTGACTATGGTAAATGAATGTTTAGCACAACATGGGAATGAACTCTGCACTTGCTCATCTCCAGGCAATAATCTTTATGAATTCAAGCTCTGATTGTAAGACATTTAAAACCCAGAAAATAGAATTAATAGCAATAAAGAACTTTCAATGTCTTAGAATGTATGACTGCAATACTTTGTTAGACCGGCAGTTATATTCACAAAAAGAGAATTGTTCAGAGATTAGTAATAGTTTAACATTCCTTGCATGTATGTTACACTTTTCATTCCAAATAATCCCAAAATGTGGGTGGCATTGGTGCCTCGCAACTCTGGGTTCGATTCCAGGCCAGGGTGCTATCTGCTTGGAGTTTGTACCCTCTACCCACATTCTCATGGGCGTCCCTCAGGGTGCTAAGGTTTTCTCCCACAGTACAAAGATATAGTGGTAGAATAATTGGCTTCTGTGAAAAATGGCCCTGATGTGAGTGCATGTCTTTGTGTGTACTGGCGCCCCATCCAGGGTGTATCTTGCCTTGAGCCGGGATAGACATGACCACCCCTGTTTCCCAGTACTGGAAAAAGTTATTAGAAAAAGAATGGATGGATGGTCCCAAAACAGGATCCAACACACGGAGGGGAAGCTTCACCCATGGGGGGGAGCCCCCATGTAGTTGGTGCATGGTAGCAATTATATACCAGCAGCCCCACGGCACAGAAGATCTGGAATCAAGAAAGTTTTACAGAGGCTAAAGTGGAATTTCATGCTGAAAAAAAGAAGAAAGAAAACACAACGTTTCAGCCGTGGAGCCTTCTTCAGGTGTGAAGAAGGCTCCACGGCCGAAACGTTGTGTTCTCTTTCTTCTTTTTTTCAGCATGGAATAAACCTATTACTTGTTCCTTTGCAGCCTACGCATGCTGACACAGCTATCCACCTAAAGTGGAATTTGCCTAGGATGCCAGTTTTAACACCCCTACTCTAACAGAGTCCATGGGATCTTTAAGAGTCACTTTTGCTTTACAGTATATAGCACTTTTCAAGGAACATTATCTATGACCAAGGTGTCAGGACTTCAGTTTACGTTCTCAAGTTTGTATCTGGAGAAACCTGTGCATTGGTTAAGAAATTCTGATCCAGAGGGGAAAGCACAATCCCACTGGTCCACAAACAATGCTTGCAGCAGTTAACTGTTTTTGGTTAGAGGTTGGTCCTCCCAGTACAGATCAGTTCCAGGCTTGCTTAGCTTCTGAGAGCTGAAAAAGCTGACTACAAGGTAAGGCTACTGTGAGGAATGATGGGTGTCTTTGTGTGGCACAAAAAGCATATCAGGTGTAAAAGTTAATGATTCACTTTCAATATTGTTCATCAAAACTGGTATTTATTGGATCATTCAAAGGGGATACAGAAATAAACATATTTGACAATGTTTTAAAGGGTGCTACAGTATTGCTATATGGTGTAATGGTTAGGAAAAAATACATCTTTTATTAATAAAAATGTGTTGCAGTGACCTTAAGCTTACAAGTAGGAGATGTGGTCTGTCAAATGTTCTTATCAGCTTGAGAACTTCAAACATAACTTGAATACTTCCAGGAAATCATTTTCTAGTGAGATCCAGTCCCTGTTACAAAGGTTTCTCTTCAGTCCAATTCTTCTGACAAATGGTTTATTAACCGCCACTCTTAAAACAAGACCAGGCACAACATATTTCATTTAATTGGCAACTAATAAAAAAACAAATAATTTTACATTTACCAGGCGCTGTGGAGCAGGTAAGTAAAGCAAGGTCTGTTGCAACAGCCTTAGAAGAATGTAATATGTTTGACTCTTTCAGCTATCAATCAGACCCTAAGATCCTTTTAATGTACATTCTCAGTGTGCCAGCGCTTTGAAACGAAAAATCACTCCTTGCCTGAAAAATGTCAAACAAGCTTTAACAGCACTGGAAGCTATGCTATCCTGAACTTGAACCTGAAGACATCAATAGCCCAAGTCTTTAGCTCTAGTACTTTGCAGTTGTTTTTACCTTCTGATCTCCACAGGAGGGAATAGTTAATATAACTGTCTGTGCCCCAGGCTACTTCATTTGTCTTTGACATAGTAGTAGCGGACTTTCCTTCCACCTACAAATCCAAGACAAACTCCTACAATTTGCTTTACAATGTACCTCAGTGTTTTACTTTTTGGGGATTGTATTTTAAATCGGAAAAACATGAAAATTCACGATTCTTTCATTTCTCTAGAAAGATCTCCGAGTCACACAGAACATTACCATTCCTATTGAGCCTTGGGTGGTGTTTTTCTCTTTTCACTGGTTGTTCCTTGCTGGTCTTCAGAAGTTTAAAATCCAGTTCTGGGATTTCTCCAGGAACATATGAAAGGTACTTAGCAGTGATGACAAAGCCATTTGGCTCATCTAGCTTATTTGGTTATTAATATCTAATTGATCTGAGTACCCTAGCCATCAATTTTCTAAAAGAAGCCATTGTATGTCTATCAACAACATGGCTTGGTACTGTAGCTTGTTCCAGGGACCCACAACCTTTATGTAAATATGAACCTCCTGATAATACTGGGTACATTTGTGAATATTTAGGTACATTTGCTATTTGCTATTGCACCCAAATATTCACAAATGCATACAAATGTACCCCAATGTTAACAAATGTACTAAAATGTTCATAAGTAGCAAGAATGTACCTGAATGTACCATCATATTAATATATTTACCCAAATATACTGTAAGGTTCACAAATGTACCCAAATATTTACAAATGTATGCAAATGTACCCAGATGCTCCCAAATGTATCCAGTAAGCATGAAAATGGGTACTTTTGATTGAATATAGCAGTTAATGATGTCAAACATATTAACACTAAGTAAGTTAGAAATATAATACCTGTTTAGAAATACTCACAAAGCATGGTGCTGGCAGAGAAATGAACCCCAGGCTGTGTCGGGCCTAGACTGGTGCGCAGAGCACCGATTTGTCTTGTAATCAGATCATACACAGTGGATTTCACTGTTTTTTTAAATGAAACATTCATCAACTGAAACTCAGGCATTTGAATTAATTCAGGCATTTGGAAAAGAATAAAGTCATACATGCTTAGAAGGTTTTACTCGAAATAATCTATGGGAAAGGGTCTAAGGCTTTTAGATTTAAAGTTGTTTTTTCTCACACTGTTGTTGCTGCAAGATTTTCACTATGAACAAACACATTAAATCCCTAAATACTATACTGTACATACAGAATGTAAGTATATGCTAAAAATGCAATGTTGGTTCTTTTAAACTTCTTATGACTAAGAATCCAATAAAAGATTAATTTAAGAAAAGATCATTGAATTCAAGGAAGGTTGTTATAATGTCTTTCAGACACTTTGGAGAAGGTCACCTTTGTTTACACCTGTTTACTTCAGACTCAAACACACACAAGTGAGTTTCTGAGAAGCTGAAAAATAAACCTTCCCTGTTACTTTTCCTAATTCAAGACTTTACAACTATGCTTTGCACAGTCATCCTCACTATAAACACTAGAAATTTAAACATTCTCCACCTTACAGCAGATACTGTAAAAAGATTTGACCCGAAACTAAGACCATGTTTGAACTTTTGTACAGTATGTTTAGCTGTTAGTAGAATAAGTATATAAGACAACTCTTATATGTTAGTTTTATTTTGTGCTTCAAACTGTCTGAACTATGAATTGAATACAATTCTCTAGGCTTTTTTGCACATGATTGTTAAGAAGAACTCCCATTTTTCCCTCTTTTTCTGTACTGCACAGACAATAATCCTTTGCCACAAACAGCCAGCACAAAGGAATCTTTTACCTTTCTGGTAAGTGCTCAAATAAGGTCAAACAGTATCTTTGATGACAGTGATGTTACTGAAGCCTCTTGAACATGTATTACAAGTGCTTGTGATCTCACCCATCTGTGCTCTGAGTCTGGGAATAAGATTATTCCAGCATTCTGGCTCTCAAAGTCCTTTTCCTTTGTCCGAAAGTCAGACAGGATAATAAGCTTATGCTAAATCATAACACCTTTATTGTTTTCCTTATCCCTGCTTCCTCAGTATTGCAGGCATAGATAACCTTTTATTTTGCAATGATTCTTGGAACTAAAAACAGTCCCCCACGATTTGGGATTAAAAAGAAAAAAAGAAAGGATCATGATACTGAACTGAATTTTGCAACCCAAATCCCTTCAAGCCTCTCTCACAGCTAGAGCCACTGTGTTTGTACAGTGGTAGGGCATAAAGGCTTTGTTAATAGGGTCAAACTCTGCCCAACAAGCAGAGTGAAATTGGGCTTCTTGTGACCATGATCTGCACAAACTACAGCGCTCCAACGCAGAAGATTTCCTATCCACTGAGTGGTTTTTACCACATGTACAAAAAACCTCAATCTTAACAACTGGTGATTTTAAGAACATTTTTGTTTCATACTGAGGAATCCCACCCTCTGCCCAGTGAATTGTTGAAAAGAATATTGTCTTTGTGCTAAACAAATTGTATTGATTTTCTCCCTCAACAGCTGGGATTAAAGGCTGACCCTCATGCGTCTGACTTCCGTCTGCTTCTGAAGTTACACACCCATTGCAATGAAAGATGCCATTTGCGCCATTAGCAAGCATGGAGCATCAGCAGCACAACAGAGCACGAGGTCCCATGCACTACTTTGTTTTCACTTCAGATGAATCTATGCTGGTTCCACATGTATGTCCAACGGAATCTGCAGAACTCATATATGGTTTTTTTTCCCACTTAGCCAGGTCTGCCTGGCTGCCAAGCAGACATGGAAACTGTGGTCTGGAAGACACTGGAAGCTGAAAAGGTCTTCGGTGAATGCCCCTCACTCTGCCACATTCAAGTACCAGTGCTGACAGAGAGATGGGAACTGTGCAGGCTCCACAGAGTGAAGGCATACCTCAGGGAGTCTCGCGGGAAGCAAAAGGAGGCTTCTTTGTGCGCAACCATATCCCTGCTCCTGAGAAGCTTCACGTTGAGGCTCTGCTTTCCTACCTCGTTCAGGTCTGTGTGGAAGAGGTGCCCTGCCCGGCACTCCCGGAAATTGGATCAATTGTCACCATCATGCATCCAAACCTTCTCCTGTTTAGTGCACCACTGTAGTCTACTGGGTTAAAGCCAAGCAGAGCTACAGGGGAAGCCCAAATGCATGGGTAGACAACAGCGGCTGAAGCAGGGTAGCAGTGCTTTAAGGACCTGTATGAGTTGCTGAGTTGGTAGATAGGGAAATTGTATCTTGGGGCTGTCATGGAGGCATGATCACAACAGCCACTCCAGGTTACTTCCTGGGTAAAGGAGGGAGGAAAGAAATTAGGTTAAATCAGGCTCACACCCAAGAAGGGAGGTGATGAAAGGGGAGAACCCACCAGTCCTGAAGCCTTAAACCGGGCGGAGCTTGGAGTCTGGAGAGAATCCGTCACAACAGGGAAACGAACCAATACCACTGACATGTCTCAGAGATACACTGCAAGCTTTTCTAGCATTGACAGCATAATAGGTTTACATTCTAATAGAATACTGCACTTTGTTTTAAACACACATATGGTCTAGTATAACAGCATTTTCATTATACAGAATATAAAATACACTTAGGACCATATTTAAACGCTTGTACATTTAAAGAAAGCTGGAGGGTCAGGGGTTAAAGTCTCCTCTGCAGATGTGTCCTTGATCACTTCCATCCAATCAGCTGTGTGAAAAGGCACCAGCTCGAGTGTGCAGGATCCCTGTGATGGACTGGCATCCTGTCCAGGGCTAAGTTTTACATTTACACCATGAAAACTGAGGTCTGGCCTGTTAAATCACTCAGTTCGTATAAGGACATATAGTACTTTATCTCCTTGAGAAAGTTCATTTTTTAAAGGAGGAATTGCAGATAACTGGGTAAAATTCAGACACAAAGGATAACGTTTAGCAAGATTTCCCCTCATGAGGAAGAAAGACAAAAAGACAGTGTGTTATAGAGAGAAAATAAAGGTGGTGGAATACGTGTCAGGGGAAGTCATTAAATAGTGAACATTCTGTAACCTGTGTTCTTAATTAAAGACAAAAGCCTAAACAGGCTGCAGAGCTCTTACTCAACCTTCATCTATGTTGTGTTAACAGTAGGAATTTTGAAAACAAGCCTTTCAGTTTGTTTTATTGTGCAAAACAAACCTTGTGACATTGATTACAGACCTGTGAAACAGATTAGTTTTTTTCCATTTTTCTTGTTAGCTCTCACCGCCTCTAAGACCATAAAATATTCCCAAGTATGTGTATGTGACAGGCAGCAAATAGCCCAAAGGAATTAATCCTGCTAATATAAGCACCCAATGTTTTTATCTCTTTAAATTGTACATCAACAACCACTATCATAAATCTGCACTCCATGTTAATCTAACAGACTATGCTGATGTACCTTCCCCACAGTCATCTTATAATTATTACCAGAATTATGCAGACGCCAGGTAACCAGTATTTACAAGGAGCTCATTGTTAAAGAAAGGGGGTCATCTACTATGAATGCTTCTCATCCATTTTTTCATATAATCTACTGACATTAAGTTAATTTTATTGACCAAGTTTAATTATTGTATTTCAATAATATAATACATACTATTATTGACTTTACAAAAGTATTTATAAACTGCTCTGTATATAAAGGATTATATATATTTTTTTAGGATGCTGCTTTAAGCCAGAAGTTAAAGAGGTAGGAAAAATAAAATACATGAGACAATAAAAATCACTTTGTGAAAATCAATCAAAAAGTGTTGATGCCTTGGAATGCAATCTCAACAGTTTAAAAAAAAAATATCTCACAAGATTTTGTACACAAACCTCATCCGGTATGTTGGAATGTTGAGGATTATCAGTAGAAATGTGTGCTTGATTAATCTACCCCAGGATTAAGGAGCTGATAAAAAGGACAACAGGAAAGATAAAATTACCTGATGGTTTTTGGCAGTAATGTATGTTTACTTCTGTCAGAGCTGCTAGAAGTATATTGTTTCCATAACTTAAATCTTGTGGCTGGATTCATTTATTTCATTTTTATTGCTATTATTTTTTTTAATAGCCTACAGGCAGTTTTGTGGGACAAAATGATCAGACAAAGTTAAACCCCAGAGTCTTTTGAAGAAGGGTTGAAACATTAAAACCTGTAGAGAGACATTCATTTTTGCCAAAAAAAACAAACTGCTGAGGACAATAGGTCTGTCTGTAAAAGAGCAGCGTACACATTGAAAGTAGATTTGACTGAACATTGAAAATAATAATTTTACATCTTCTAATTATACAATGAAGCAAAAATGTTGTGAAATATATAAAAGTGAGAATTTTATTTGTTTTGTTTTTTGGAACAAGTTCATAAAGACTGCAAGCAGATCAAAGAAGGTCAAGTCAAAGTCTGTTTGCAGACAATACATGTGTTACAACTCAGTCCCCTCAGCAGGGGCTCTGCACAGATCTGTTATTCGATTTTTGACAGCCTTCACTTAAACATAACTGTGCTATGTAGAGAATGTGAGGTCTTAGATTCCAGTTGTGAGGGGGGATCGCAGGGCACTTGTAACCTGAAAAGAAATAGCTTACAGGATGTAGAAGCCCCTGAAAGAAAGCGATTAATGTTTTCAGGATAATAAGCTACAGACTGGTTGATTTTAAGGCGCCCTGAGGAGAGCTTGGACAACAGCAAAGAGTCTGGTTGAAGAGCACATTGGGGAGACACAGAAGACCATTTAAAGCAGCTGACTTTGGTCTTACAGGACAGAAATTAAGGTTTGTGTTCAAGGATCCAGAAGATGGATTTTCACGACTTCTTACTTAACAAAACTAATCCCAGTGTGAAACTTGCAGGTGTTGATTACAATATGTATACTGACACAGTTAAGATGCATTTGAGACAAGGCAAGACTGTAACCCCCTCATATTAATTTAAATTAAAAAAATGAATGTTAAACTGAACTTATTTATCAAGATCTATTAATTGAAAATTCCCATCTCCTGAGCACACGGTAGTTGAAATGTACCATAACATTAACAAAAACATATTTGACAATATTTTTGTCCTACAGTATATAAATGTCATACCACAGTTTGTAAGCAGTGTTTACATCAGTGTTGGTTGCAGCTTTTGGACTGGGAAATGAAGAAAGTGTACAAGTGTTCTCTAGCAACACTTTCTTGTATGAACTGGACTGAAAGAGCCACTTTCAGACATACACATGTTCCCTCTTACTGTGCTCAATAAAAGTAACATACAGTAACCAGCTCGCCATTTAAGGACAGAAGAAAAGTTACAAACAAGATGAGGCCACTAGCCTTTTTAGCTCGCTTAATTGCTGAGGTCCGAAACTTAGTATTCGAACTATATATTCATATAGAAGCATGAATAGTGGTTGTTTTGGTGATATGTTTTTTAAATGAAGTGCCTCTACTACTGGATACTTAGACTGAAGGATACATACTATCTAACACATTAATAAAAATATAACTCAAGTGGAAACTATGTGGAAGTTCATTTAAAACTGAGAAGAGGAAGCACTTCTTTACCCAAAGGGTCGTGGGAGTGTGGAAAAACCTACCCAGCCATGTTGTTGAATCCAATAACCTGGCTTCTTTCAAGAAATGGTTGGATGAGACCTTGGGATCAATTAGTTACTAACTACTAAATGGGGGAGATGGACCAAATAACCTCTTCTGTGTAACATATATTCTTCAATCCTAATATCTGAAAACTGACCAATATTGTTAATATTGTTGTCTGAATATTCATATGTCAAAACTCAAACCTTAAACACCACAGTAAATATATTCATGGCTGCAGAATGACAGTCTGAATGAACCTGAATTCAGCGATTTGTTCTCTGTGTGCATTTAACAGAACCACAGAAGACTGGGATACCTGAGCCTGTTCCTATGGTTCTGAAGTTCATCGGCAGAAACAGATGCTGTCCCAGGTGAGCTACAAATCTCTTTCAGCAGCACACAAAAGGTACAGAATCCAGGTGTGTGTCAATATAATGTATCCACAAGGATTACTGTAACATCTGTCCATTTTACACACCACCCTCGGCTGAATGAGGTTCCAACTCGGAGGCATGCAATCCATCCAAAGAAAAAAAATAAAACCTTAACTGGATCAAGTTCTTAGCTGCTGATTTAAAGACATGTTCAAAACCCACTGGGCAGCAGTTTTTAGGTCAGAATATGAGAAGTTTTATTTCAGTACTCAAGAGGGGGCTGTTTAAGACAGTGTTGCCCAACTCTATTCACCGAGAGCTGTTGTGTCTTCAGGGTTCTGTTTAGCTAAAATTTTTATCTATTGAACCGAGCCAATTATCTACTGGATCTTTTGGAGAGTTTTCAAATGCCTCTACCTATCAACGACTTGACCTACCAATGCCTGCTGGACATGGATGGGTGCATCATTGCTTTAGGACTCAATCTAAGAAAGTAAAGTAAAGTACAGCAAGGACATGAACCTGAAACGTGGGATTTGGCAGTAGGTAGATTTATGCCACTAGGCCCCAAAAGCAGTTTTACAGCCAATACTTACATTGACAGACCCGCATTTTGTATGAACTTGATCCGACTGCTTAAGCCCTGCGCAAGTACAGGCATCCTCGATTTGTCCTCAGTGGAACTCTCCATTTTTGTCAAAATCTGAAACCATGCAAAATGTTTTTTTCAGTGCAAAAATCATAATAACACAAATGCTCTGAAGCTTAAGTCCAAGCCACACAAACTGCAGAAAAGGGATTTTGTTTCTCCAGTGTTTCAGCTGGAATTAAATTCCTTAAACACTACTCTAATGAAATAAAGCCACAAGCAGAGTCCCATCTCGTGTTAATAAAAGTCCCTGACAGATGCTGTTAACAGAACGTCAGTCCACTTACTTGGAAGCAATGGTATATTTTGGAAATGTCTGTCACAAGTTCTCAGAAGTTGTTATAAGACATTGCTCTGATTTAATCATTGTTTAAAGGGTTTTTTTAGTGTTTTGTGCAGTTATATTTCATAGTTACTTCAGATGAAGAGGCCCACAGGAAGATTTTTGGCCCTGCTATGAAAGCTAGCATATATCAAAATGCAAAAGGCAAAGTGAGTAGAGATTCACCTTTTGAGATGGTGTTAGAGTGGTGTGTGAAAGTGAATCTAAGGGAACCTTCAGATGCAAAGAACACTCACTTAAAAGAGTAGCTGGACTTATCACTCATCACATTTAATACAAATTGGGTAAGTCTTCTGAAGACACATGTTTCCAGACTGTTTTTTGTATTCCCCACTTAAAAGACATTTCTTTTCCCCACCTCTAAAATTGATGTGCACATTCTCTAACCTAATTGGTCTGCTAACACACCATTTAAAATAATACCACTAAGATTTCACTTTCACTAATGTTTGAAAGCACTTTCTCCACACACAATTTGTGGTACATTTGCCTCATTTCAGATGGTTTTCACTTTTAGGAAAAATGTATACTTGATCTTGTAAATAAATGAAGAATCCTCATTTTGCATTCGTATATTAAAGAGAAGTACACACACTTCAATAGTTGGGGGAATTCAGGAAACTTTTCCAAACCGACAGAGGTTTTCAGAGGCCTAACTCAAACTTTAAGGTCACAGTTTGCTTTTGCTAAAAAGGTATCTTATTCAAAAATGGATTGTAAACTCAAGAAATCCTGAAATTCACCCACCTGCCCTTCAGGTAAATATCTTGAATTGTGTACAGAGTAACAGCTCTATTATTTGTCACTTTGCTTTACACCCAATTAATTTGAATTTCAAAATCCTAAATTGGCCAACAATAGTGTTAATATTGTTACATTGTCTTGCAGGATACAGTTAGACCAAAGCAAAAGGTTTTGGATAAAACTCTTTTCCCTGTACTTTTCTTTCCATGCAAAGGTTAAGCTCATTGAGCTTACCAAACATGTCAGCCAAATACCTAAGCAAAATTTAAAACCGTTGGTCGAGGAAGTTGAAGTGGTGTTGGAGTCAATCAAAAACATTCCTCCTTTAATTCACAGACCCTTGCCAGAACTTTATTCCATGACAGACATCTACATTTTTTATGAAGCAGAAGTTGCTTAAACAAGCTACCGATCTCTTCGCATACTGAAAAACTGAAAATAGTCATGTTCAGCAACCAAGATTCTTTTAGGGTAACAACCTTTACTGTGACAGACAGACTTGTGACCTTGCTTTTACAGCAAGTGCTCTCCTGTGAAGAAACAATGTTACCATAACACTATCCATTCATCCATTTTCTAACCACTTTATCCAAAAGGAGATCACAGGGGAGCTGGAGCCTATCCCAGCAAGCAACGGGTACAAGGTTGGATAAACCCTGAAATAGACACCAGTCCATTGCAGGGCACACTCACACCAGGATCAATTTTCCAAGAAGCCAGTTAAACTACCAGTGCATCTTTGGACTGTGGGAGGAAACTGCAGCACCTGAAGGAAACCCATGTGAACATGGTGAGAACATACAAACTCCATGCAAATAGCACCCCAGGATTTGAACCCAGGAACCCAGTGATGTGAGACAGCAATGTTACCACTTATCTGCTACTTTTCACATCTTGTACTATTGATATCTAGCTGCTGGCATCACAAGACATTAGTTTCCACTTTTTACTATTTTGGTAAGAGACAGCTTGAGGTTTGGCAGGTGCTCTGGTGGTTTCTTTATTTATCTTTACTTGTCCTTGTAGTAAATCATATTTTGTTAAAAAACTTGAGGCTAGTCTTTTGTGGTTGGCTGTTTTGTCTCAAAATGTAGTTTTACACTTCATTTTAATGCCACAATTATCAAGCTCAAACAGCACATTATGGGTGATAGTCAGAACAAAGAAATGTAACACCTAAGATTAAAAACAAAGGTATCTAGTTCAGTCATTTTGACTGGAATGCCCTACTTTTAAGAAAACACTCCATTCTTTTCAACTATTCTTTATCCAGCCTCTCTAATGATATTAGAGAATACTGAATACTTCCTTTATATTAGTATTGTAGTAGATATTTTTTGCTACTAGGTGAAGTTTTAGTATTGACGTCTAGTAGAATGTGCCTTGTCCTCCCTGTTTAATACTCTCTCTTCTAAGGGAATGTAAAATGAAGCTAGAACGCAGTGAATCATATTTATTTTATTTGGCTTATTTTTTGGATGTTGTTTACTGAATGTGAAGGTTTATAGCCTTAAACAAAGCACAACATGAACAACAAATTTGTGGAGAATAATGAAAAATTCAGCAAGATTGGAATGTAAAATATGTCAAAATTGGTCAATATAATGCATCTCCTATTTCTTCCAGCGAAAGTCAAGGAGTTGGAACAGTACTGCAGTGTAACATTAATAACAGGAGAGCCACATCTCACGGAAGTTGCTCATTTTGTTATCCTTGCATCTTTATGCCACCCTCAACATTCAGAGAATTAAAACAATACAGTACCTGAATTCTCCATTAATGTGGAAAGTTTAAAGATGGATCGATTAATTTCTCTTTTCTTACTTCCTGAAACTTTTCAGTACATGGAGGGTGACAGAAGTGTTGAGAGGTGAGGAGAGGTGTGGATTTTGGCAGCAGATAAACACATTATAAACACAAGAGTGCAGTAAGAAAATGCAGTATCATACAGTATGTATTAGAAGTAGAACCACTTTCCTTTGCATTATAGTACATGTAGTAGTACAGTACCACCTTGTCTTTTCTCAGGAAAAATAATTTGTTTGCAGATGTCTCCATAAAAACATTGTATAAAGTGCCACTATGCAGTTTATGTGCCAGTATATGCTTTATGTTCCTGAAAGGTACCTGCACTGCTGCTTCACAGTGGCTGGGCCCTGATTTCAGCTCTAGTATGGGGTGACTTCTCCATGCAGCTAATTAAATTTGAAAACCTTTATTATCCCAAAACTGGAAAATGAATTTGGCAATATCGCTTCACAACCTTCACCAATAAATAGAAAAGACACACACATACAGTACAAGTACAGACAAATACAATAAATACAGCATGAAATCGTATAAGATACATTTTAAAGTACTACAGTCATTCAGTACATTTTAACAATTATACAATTGTAGATGCAGCTGAAGTGATCATTTGACAGTATTATTGTACAATATTATGGCTACAGGAATTAAAGAGCTGTATTCATGTGCCATTTACTCTCAGTCTTCCTGTATCTTTCTACCAACAAGTTATCATGCCACGTGGCAGGAAAGGGATTTGGTACAAAGTTATGATAGAAATTTCAGGAGGAAACTTGGACCCTTATCTTGCACACTTCCACTCACCTGCATATACTGTATAAATCTCACAAAGGGGACATCTTATAGAGAATCTCTCTTGTACTCCTCCTGCCATCCAACCTACAGTACACCTCTCCAGCACCTTCCTGGTTCAATCCTTCCAATCTGAGGGGGTGTCTTGCCAATTTCCTCAAACAAAGTGATCGACTCTGCATATTTGTCTCTCTCTCACCTTTATTAGAAAGTAACTGAACTATTGCATATCCAATTATAAGAATGGTTGGATTCTAGTGTTAGATATTACAATAATTATATGAACAGATGGCAGGCAATGTAACGTAGAAACATTCTTTTTTGGGCAGCTAGCATCAGTTTTTTTTTTGCTTTTCCTTAACAAGAAATGAATACAGTTTTTCAAATAAAAATCCACAGTAGAAATGCTTGAAACACTTTTGTATTAGTATGAGGTTCCTATACGATAGTGACGAAGATCTTCCTTGTGTATAAATTGTCTATTTAACTTATTTACCAGGAGGAAGTGGGCAGTTTGACTCCCAGAAACATAAGGAGCAATGCATACTGTATGAACATGCCTCTTTGTTAACAGTCTAACAATCTTTCAAGAAGCTACTGTAATTAAAGAGCCAGCTGTACTTCAGACAACTCAAATGTTTTTCTTTTTGACATTGTCACACTATAACCTTGCTTTTTTCCCTCTGTATCAGTGAAAGCTTTATGTAAGTTACTACAACCAATCCCAAATTTACCTTTTATTGTACAGATTCTGGCATTTGTTGTGGTCACTCAGTTACAAAGGCATCTAGCACTAAGTGAATGAAATTAGAAAATTACAATCTGTAGGGCAGCAGGGTGGCACAGTGGCTAGCGTTGCTGTCTTGCAGTGCTGGGGCCCTGGGTTCAAATTCTGAGGTGCTATCTGTGTGGAATGTGTATGTTGTCCCTGTGTTCACACAAGTTTCCTCTGGGTGCTCTGTTTTTTTTCCCACAGTCCAAAGACATAATGGAAGTTAATTGTCTTCTGGGAAAATTGGCCTTGGTTTGAGTGTATTCATGCTTGTGTCTGTGTGCTCTGTGATGGGCCGGTGTCCCATCCAGGGTGTCCTCTGCCTTGCAACTGTTGCTTGCCAAGATAGGCTCTGGCTCCCCCATGATCCTGATACACTAGCCAGCCTTGAAAGAGGAACACAAAACCCTGAGTTTGTTAGCAAGACTGACATGACAAATCCACATGGCCATCTGCAAACTCCAATATATTCTTTTATATTTTCTGCTTAAAGGTTTGTAGAAATCTGAAAAACTACATGATATTTAAAGGTATAGGAAACATTGCTTTCTCCTCTTATGATGAATTATTATAACACAAATATACTGTACATGAAAGTGTATCACCATTCTGTTTCATACCACAGTAGATACACATTAAAAATGGGATCAATCTGTGACCTTGAGCTCTCTACATGTATATTACTCCAATAAATGAAAACTCTTGTAGGTGGTCTCCTATTTTTTGTTTTACTGACATCTATCTACACAGGAGGTGATCTTAAATTACACCCTGAAACCCTGGTCTATGTGCTATACAATACTGACTATAGCTTTTTGTCCATCAGTAATCTTTTCAGCAAAATAGTAGCAAATCATTTTAAGTTCTTGTTTTTTAATTTTATGTAGTATTTCTCCTAAAGTAATATATATCTTTCATAAATTGATGTCTCCTGGAAATAATAGTAAACAAAATTATAAAGAAACAGTATTTAAACTCCTCTTTTTTTAAAGAGGAAAACTGTACTTATGTATTCTCCTTCACAGAGATGTTTCATCTGAAGTATTGGTGCATATACAGTAGCAGCGACACAAAAACTCCTGAATTTTTAGGAAGCCCAGAAATCAAGTTAGAATTCAATTATTAAGAGTGATGAGCTATTAAAATTAAGTATCTAAATATTCTCAATAATCTCTTTTCTTAGTATCATGGTCTTCTTCCACATTATTTTATTTATTATTATTATTAATACTAATAATAATAATAATAATAATAATAGTCGTAAAAATATTTATAGTTGTTCTAGTAGATGTGGTTCATTAGCGTTACCTAACATTAAATTTTCTAAGCCTCTTTTGGCCTGTGACAACAGCTAGAAATTTGAGGTCACTATTCCCAAATGAGAGATGAAGAATTAAAGAGATGGTTAAAACCAAGCAGTCACTGTCACCAGGCCCCCTTAAGACATTATCCTCCAATGTTCAAAATTATTTCTAAATGAATACAGGGATTATAAGAAAATAATGAATTTTTTTAACCACGCTTTTAAAGCTGTGTTTTTGTGGTAGATTAGATAGAGGTATCAAAATGTACATCTATAATAAAGAGCTAAGCATGACTTATTGTATTTGAAATTAATGTACACATATTAATAACTTTTCCAGTATATAACCTTGACCGCTTTGCTCTCTAGCAGCAACCCCCATTAAAAAGATGAGGCTATAATTATTTACCTGTTGCTCGGTAGGCAATAGGTTTTCATCACTACTAAGAGGCTCAAAATATCGAAGTTTATGTAAGCATTGAAACGGTCAAGCGAGCGTCATTTCAGAACCTGTAAGAAGATTATTATGTGAAAACGAACAATGAGCTCTATTCCGAGACCAGCCGGTTACTGCAGTTCCGTGCAGCAAGCAACACCAATGAAAAGACTGCGCTCTCGAAGGGTTAAAAAAGGGGGTTACAGCGGTTCACGAACACGCAGGTGTCCTGCCAGTCCCAACCCAATTTTACGACTGATGTTTTTAAGTCTTAAATCCTTTCAGCTCCACAGAAGCAATTCATAACTGTCACTTGAGCGTAAGGGAGAAGTTTTTTTTTCTGGTTGGAGGGTGATATATACGGTAGCAGTTCTAATAGTAAAGTAACAGAGCATAAATACAACTTTCCTGATTTCACAACTTGTTTCACTAAACCGAGGTTTTGCAAACGGTAGTCATTGGTTTTATCTAGGCTGCTTTTAATTTTGCTGATTTTAAAAGCGGATAATAAAACACGCCTTGTCGTTGTTTAATATATTGAGTACATCTTGCAGGTGCGAACTTCATTATTGTTCTTTTTCCAGCCCTGAACTTGACATCTGTAACAACCTGGACATGTGGTGGATGCTGTTCCCCAGATGGATCTGTTTTTTTCTGGGACAATTCTTCGTCCTTTTCTTGAGCCGCAGTGTGAAGGGCATGGCTCTGCCGAGAGTTGTCTATTCTCACGCCGGGATCTGCCCCAACGAGATGAACCCAAACCTGTGGGTAGACGCCATGAGCACCTGCCTGCGAGAGTGCGAATCGGACCAGGTGAGAACACAGCACCTTTAACCAGAGATCTGCCCGCGGAGGTAGAAACAGCCGTGAAAATGAAAAAAAAAAAAACGCATAAGGGATGGAATTTAGATTGTCTGGGACGTTCCTAACTGAAAGAGCTAGAGGAAGAATTGTTTTCCCAAAGTGTAAAATGTAATCGTAATACAGAACCATGCATTAAACCTCATATCACCAAAGTAAGTCGCGTTCTCTTAACTTTCTTTTGATATTAAGCTTAGATCGTATCTACTGTTAGGGTTTTATACTTACACGTGGTTCATTGACTATTCTACATTCCTACAGTCTATCTCAACTGTGGTTTGAGCTATCACTTGCGTTTTGACCGATAAAATACAAGTATTCGCTTGTCATCAACGTACAAGTTACTAATCAGCCTAATGTTGAGCTAAAACAAGATTCTGAATGCTTGTAAGTGCAAAAACCTAACTAGGCTGTGATTTGCAGATAATTTATTTTTGGATGAGTAAACAACGAGGTTCAGTATGAAAAACTAGTGATGTTGTGCCTCTGCCACCCCCCACACCCCAGAAAATCTCTGAAATACTTCAAAAACCTAGGAATAAAACTTCAATGATAAAAATACTTATCTATCTTTTTGGGGAGGAGACGTTTGTCATTATTTTTTTAAATTCCAAAATAAAGTAAGAGTTATATAATTTATCTTGTGTTTTTATAAATTACAAATCTCATAGCTAATAATTAAATTGAATTAAAACTTTCGGATTGTACAATTCCTATAACAATGCTTACGTGGCTTTATGTGATGAACAAGAAGAAAACATCGCTCTGATAAAACGTTCTCACTAACACTTTAAGATTCTGTTAAAATTATATTGCTTTGTATAACGACTCCTAATATATTTGTGATTCGGGATACTTTTTATAAAATCTTACAACGACACTCCGTCGACGTCTCTCTCGGTTAACTAATACTTTATCATAAATCTAAAAGTGTTTTAATAATAAAATATAATATTTTAGCAATGACTAAAAGCGTCAAATAGAAACGTAATTAAATAGCATGTATTAAGTCATACTGTATATCGCAAAGGTAAGTCGCGTTCTCGTAACTTTGTGTTCAGAAAATAAGGTACACCTGAGATATGTTTTAACATAAATTGCAATAAAGAAACGATTTACATACAGGATGTGTGTTAATGTCAGAATAAGACGTTTTAAAGTCAATAACTCAATTTAGAAGTATAAATACAAGTCGTAATATTATGATAATGTTTTTAAAAATAGATTTTGTCACAGATTTATTCTCAATGTGTCTTCATGTCTACAGTCATCATTTAAATCCAGATTTGACAGTAGTCATACAATCAGTTACTCTGAAGACAGCAGCACACTTAATACTTTTTAGTAGCAGACAACACATGGCCTGTGTGTAAACTGCAGACAAGACAAGAAGCTCTGTGGTGACGTGATTTGAGCTATGTGAAAACTAATGCGTGTGCTTTCAAACCAGGAGTGCGAGACCTTTGAGAAATGCTGCCCGAACGTCTGTGGGAACAAAAGCTGTGTGGCTGCCAGGTACATGGATGTCAAAGGAAAGAAGGGTCCTGTGGGGATGCCCAAGGAGGCCACCTGTGACAAGTTCATGTGCACGCAGCAAGGCTCGGAGTGTGACATCTGGGATGGGCAGCCAGTCTGCAAGTGCCGAGACAGGTGTGAGAGAGAGCCCAACTTCACCTGTGCCTCTGATGGCTTGACCTATTACAACAGGTGCTACATGGACGCAGAAGCCTGCTCGAAAGGCATCTCCTTGTCAGTGGTGACCTGCAGGTACCACCTGACCTGGCCGAACACCAGCCCCATTCCGGTGGAAACCACAACCCGCCCCACCACAGCTTACCTGGAGACCACAGCCATCGATGTCCTCCCGCCTGTCATGGTCACCAACCCCACCCACCATTCTGTGTTTGTGGGGGAAACGGTGAGCTTCCTCTGCGATGTGACCGGGCGGCCCAAGCCGGAGATTACCTGGGAGAAGCAGGTCGAGGGCAAGGAGAACATCGTTATGAGACCCAACCACGTGAGGGGAAATGTTGTGGTCACCAACATTGGCCAGCTGGTGATCTACAATTCTCAGACCCAAGATGCTGGCATCTACACTTGTACTGCCAAGAACCCGGGGGGCTCAGTCCAGGCACACTTCCCTTTATCAGTGGTGAAAAGGGATCCTTCTAAGAAAGAAGACCAGAAAAACTCAACACAGTTTCCTGCAGATGAATGCTTTAAAATGCCTGACAATGAAGACTGCGGGGAGGAAAAATTGAGCTGGTATTATGATTCCAAGAAGAACAACTGCTTCACTTTCACATATGGCAACTGCAACAACAACATGAACCACTTTGACACCTATGATTCTTGCATGCTGTCTTGTGGAGCAGAAGTGGCCAATCTTTGTGGCCTGCCCACCCTCCAGGGTCCCTGCAAAGCCTACGAACCAAGATGGGCTTACAGCAATGTTCTAAGGCTGTGTCAGCTGTTCATCTATGGAGGATGCGGAGGCAATGAGAACAACTTTGAAAGCAAAGAGGCCTGCGAGGAAATGTGTCCTTTTCCAAAGAACCAGAATTGCAAGATGTGCAAACCGCGACAGAAAATGGTGACCAGCTTCTGTAAGAGCGACTTCGTAATCCTGGGACGGATGATGGAACTTACAGAAGACCAGGATTCGGGACATGCCCTGATCGTAGTGGAAGAAATTTTGAAGGATGAGAAGATGGGGCTCAAGTTTTTCGGAAAGGAACCTCTGGAGGTCACCCTCTTAAACATAGACCGCAATTGTCCCTGCCCCAACATTACCTCTTCAGATGGGCAGATGATCATAATGGGTGACGTCCACAATGGCATGGCTGTGCTGCAGCCTGACAGTTTTGTTGGGGCATCCAGTGCAAAACGCATGAGGAAACTCCGTGAGCTCATTCACAAGAAGACTTGTGACTTTTTGAAAGAATTCTCCACAATTCAATAATCGGCCTGCGGTTCCTGTTTTAACATGCTGCACTTAGACCAGTCTAAACTAATAAGACTTTCATATCCTTCCTTTTAAAGGAATTTGAAAAACAATGCATTGAAATTTAAATCAGTACTCACCTACAATAGAGGGGATTGCTTTACTGAAGCAGTTCAAGAATGGTGTGGCCATCATACCTACTGAACTTAAACTAAAACACATTGGGAAGCTTTGACTTCTGTGTAGTGAGATAAACCCAATTAGGTTATATTAGTCAAGTCCCTCAATTTAAAGCAGTATAGGAAAATATATATATGTGTCCAATTTTATTGTTTGTACATTTATTTCCATTCTGCCATGACTTTCCAGTTGATATTTATTTTAAAAGCATAGCTTTGTGCACAGCTTGTTATGAAGCTTTAAAAGTTAGAACACTAACAAATTAGGAAGTTAATTCACTTTGTTCCTAAGGTCAATTATAGTTTGTAAAAAGTAGAAATACAGAAGTATGCAATACACTTTACATACCGCACTTTATTGATCAGAAACTGCAAAGCCACATGTGAATTTTAGGCATCACAGACTACGCTTGCAGTCATCACACAGTACAAGCAGTACACCTCATACTGGCCTATTTCATTGAGTCACTCCCTCATTTTATGTTTTTTTTTTTCAACGTGTTTGTTTTGATGGAGTGCCATCCTGTTTTCCTGAAGAAGTTAAGTAATATGTTTTTTTGGACATTGGAACCGCTGAAACAAATCCGGCTGTTTTGCAGCTTTTGTGAACTGATTCCCCTAGCGTTAATCTCACCTTGTGCCTTGAAAGGAATTTTCCACTCCAACGACTACAAACAACATGGACTCTGCTCCAGCACTTACTGGAAGAAATTACATTTGATTAATTAAGCTTTTAAAAGATAATAACAGTCTTAAATCTGCTAATAAATGCCATTAATAAGCATGTTATTTAGTGCTCTAAGTAATGTTTTGTTTTTCTTGGCATCTGTTGCATCCAAACATGATGCTGTGCTGCTATTTCGTGTCCATCGTTTCAAAGTTATGGAAAAGAGTAGCATTGGTCCTATAAACGAACGTACTGAGTGAACCTTTTTGATGTATTTCCAAAATCATTTTGCTTAATGCACTTGAAAAAAAAAGTTGTAATATATTTTCTCAAAGGTCAACTATTATAGGCTCCATGAATCAATAAAACAAGATATTTTATACTGACATTCCAGCACCTTGCCATTCTGTTAGAATTTGAATGTGGTTTTCTGTCTATTTGCTTTATTTCTTTTGTAGTTTGAGGTAGTTTCTATTTATTTTGTATGCTGCTATCTTTTTAGCAACTACCTTATTGTGTTGGGTTCAGGAGAAAGTTTTGTAAATCATTTTTTTTCTTCAAGCACTTAATGGATTCTTTTTGTCATCAAATTTTTGTTTTCCTTTTTATATTTCCAGGTAGGATGTGATGCTATGTTCACAAAAACATTAAAAAACATGGAAAAGTGGTAATAAGAAATAAAGACATTCATGAGTGAATGTTAAAATATTAAACTGTTCTGATATGAAGCTTTGAGTGGGAAAAATTGTTTTGCAATTGTATATGTTGCAATTTGTTGTAACTTAGATCATACTGTATAATTCTCAAATGTCAGATGTTACTCAAGGTAATAAATGGAATGAGTTAGACATTCTCTGTATTAAAAAAGACTAGAATATAAAACAAAATGGTTAATTTTTTCATTGAAAGGTATGTTGAAAATAATATAATTCAACCAAAAAGTGTGTGTAGCTCCTCAGAATGACATCATGGTATTTCAGAGTTTATTTTAGATATGGAGCACTTTTTGAAAAAGTTTATATTAAGCAAATCACAGTTTGTTGACTGAGTAATTATAACATTTAAACACAGAAATCAAGGGACACAGTCAGGCATCTACATGCTTTTTACGTATGAGAAGAAGAAACAAATTGTACAAAGCACAGTGAAACGTTCTGTAAGGATCCTTCAAAAAAATCCACATAACATGCACATTTCTGAAAACTCATTCACTTTGAGGATCAGAGGAGATGTTCAGTGTTTGGCAAGGTGGTTAAATACTATAATTCTGCAGTAACTTTAATTAGTGGTATAATATTAAACTTAATTTGGAATAATGTTTTTAAAATCACACTTCTGAGTCCTGTGTGAAGTTTGTGTTCACGTGGGTTTCCTCTGAGTGTTTTTGTTTCACTGGTGTGAGTATAGGCGTGTTTGTGTCTGTATGTCCTGTGATAGACTGGTGTCCCTTCCTGGGTGTATCCTGCTACGTGTCTGTTGCTTGCCAGAATAGCCTCGAGCTCCCTTCCAGCCCTGTGTTGGATAAAGTGGTTAGAAAACGGATAGATGGACTCATCAGTTCATTTAAGGTAGGTAGCTGATCACGCGGCAGGCTGCTAAATTTAAACCATTGAAAGTGTGCACCACAAATAGCAAACTTGCTGCAATATTTCTCATGTTTTCCTTCATGAAAGCAGATTAAACACCCAAGAAGAGAATGAATGTGAAAAGTCTAACTTGCCTGACTATGCAAGACAATGTAAGATAAAGTTGAGTTTTTTTCTTTTTGAAATAAAACAAGATTGATGTTGCTCTGAAGATCGGAAATGTTTTGCAGATCAAGCAGGTTGGCAGCAGTATATAAGCAACTGATTGATGCTTGAGGCATGCAGAGCAGGAAGAGATGTAGAATGATCGCTTTCCAGGTCACATTCCACTGCCGGAGTGGGGAAGCGGTGTACCATGAGGGAATTGTGCCTGGGAATGCCTTCACTCTGGCCCTGTTCCTTGACTCATGGCATCATGGGATCTTTTAATGTGTATGAAACGGCTGGGGTCCCCCGTTTCGCATCTCTTTGGAGGGGTGACCCCGCTCTGAAGCACAGCTCCTTTCTCAACATGCCAGCTGACTCCCGCCGCACACTGACCCCCACGCAGTAGGCCCGGGTGTAACAGATGAAACAGTGTTCAGAGACCGGATTTGAACTTTTGACTCTGAAAACCTGAGCTGTCAATGAGGGATGTTCTTCCAGAAAGGCAAACACATGGCTTCCCAGAATGTTGTTGTGAGGGAATACAAAGCCTTGCTCGCTCAGTCTAACTAAAAGCAACCCACTACTTTGCAAGCAAAAAATACTTCATTCAAAGGCTGCCAAATGTCAAGTACAGCAAACAGACTTTGCGTAGACACCCATGACAGCAGTACTAGTCCCAAGGCTAAATGACTGAGTTCTAGTAATTGTCATCACCTTATTTATTAAGTGTTCACCAACAATGTGTAAATATATATTTAAAAATAGGATGTAACATACATTTTCTACAAAATTTTTTTTGACTGTTTATGTTGGTTTATCATCTTTAACCTCTAGACAATGCAGAGAAGCGATAAACAAGAGAATCAGTGTATTAAGTGTATTAAATTCAAAACTTTAATAGTAAACTTTTAATTTAATAAAATTTAATATGCTAGTAAAATCTCATTTAGAATATTGTGTATAATTATGGCCATCATATTGCAAAAAATCTATTGCTTCTTAGGAATAAGTCCAAAGAAGAATGATCAGATACATGCCTGGGCTTAAGGGAACATTTTGTCTACACTGACAGGTTTCAAGAACCAAGTTTTTGTCTTGAACACAGAAGACAAAGAGAGTGACAAAGTCTGCCCAATTGAATACTTCAGAATCAACGGTGAAACAAGAACCAGAGTAATACCAATTGGAAAATAAAGGGTAGTCCGTTTATAACAGAACAGCACTTGCTGAATCTGATCGCCAGGCTTCTTTCAAACAATAGCTGGAAGAAATCCATCGATCACTTGGCAACTACCAACCAAACACGTTAGATGGGAAAAATGGACCCCTCTGATTTTGAACCTTTCCTATATTTGCTCAAAATAAGCAATGAAAACATATCAGCACTTAAAAGAGGTCAATGTTTGCTTAGATGAAAATAGTAGCAGCAAATTGTATTTTCCACCTATAGGAGTTTGTTTTTGAGTGTTAATTTATCTTTGTTTATTATCCAAATTGTACTTTATATGGTGTGCTCTGTGTTATTTGTTTTTTAATTTAAAATGTAACTGTGGCTGTATCAGGGAGGTTACAATCTAAATTGCAGGGTCTGTGTTAGGCTCATTTACACACGCACAAAGGTGTTACACAAACATGTTTTTTACCTGTAACAGGGAGAAGGCACATCTGCTGTCCCAGACATGACAATAGATTCTTCACACTCTGTCCTTTCCTTCAAAGCATTATGGGAGAGCACACATGGGTTGAGTTGCACTGCCCAGAAAGGTCAACTCTACAGGCTGTGTTTAAATAATTTCATTGCATCAGGAAACCAGCTGGATATTTAATAGTGGAGATGAATAGGCCATGTCAGTACAATGACATCAATGGGTACTCACAGAAGATGACCGTTACCTGTTGTAAACTACACTTGAAAATGTTTTATCCCAAACAAAGGAGCAATGACATCAGACATTATTGTCATGGAACTGATTGTGCATTTTTAAAAATGATTGTACTACCATTGTCCGATACTAAGAGGAAAAGTTCCTCGAGCAGAAACACTGTATATTTCATTTTCCTATCTTTTGCCAATGCCCTTTTAAGCTTTGTATCTTGAGTTTGTTGGAAACATTTCTTTTCTTTGTCAAGCTGAGCCTAAAGGAAATTTCACTGGCTAACAGCAGGTCAACAAAGAGCCATTTAATGTAAACAAGTGTCTCATAAACAGATCATTTCAGCTCCTGTTGGTGCTTTCTGAGGCTATTGAAGAACCCAGTCCAGTCATCAGAAAAGAATGTATGCATGTGGATAAATTAATTATTTATTTAAGTTATTAATAAATGTTTAGTAGCACTATAAAATTTAAGAGGCAATGGACTACATGGATTTTTCTTGATGCTTTTTTTATAACAGTCGTGAGGTTAAGTTTATGTTTTGGATCAAACACAAGTTCACAGCTTGTTACCGTGTAATAAAATAACACCAGAACATGTAGTGGAAACAATTATGATAATTGAAAGACCAGAAACAACGAAGGAATGGTAGTTAAAAAAGAAGGTCTTCATTTTTAAAGCTGCCCTCAGAATGTGAAATCGTACTGTGTGCATGCTCTCCTCAGCAGTCAGTCTGATTCTTATCGTAAACAGGATGCAAGGCAGACACTTACCTACCGCATGCATTCAAATATACTACCTCAAACAGGTTTGACAGTCGTCAAGGTAAGTGTCGTCAGAGACTGCTAAGAAACACAATTTCCTATGATGGAGGCTATTCACATTTATAGGGGCATTATTGGTAATTAGAAATCTTTTTCAAATAAATAAGAACCTGAAGATATGAAAAGAGGAACCATTAAAATTGTGTCTTTACAAGGAAACTATAAAAAAAAAATAGTTATTCATATCCAGATCCAGACTGATTCTGAAGTTAAATTCTATTCATCATTGAATTTTTCTTAACAATAAAATAATGTTGGGTGGCAAGGGGGTGCAATGATAACCCTTGCTGAGACAGTCTTGGGACCCTGGGTTCAATTCCAGACCTGGGATGATGTCTGTGTGGAGTTTCTATGTTCGGCCTTTGTTTGCCGGGGTTTTCCACTGGGTGCTTTGGTTTCCTCCCACTGTCCAAAGGCATCTGGGTAGGTTCATTTTCTGTAAAACTGGACATGGTTTGAGAGTGTGCGTGTCTGTCTCTGTGCGTGCCCAGCTTTGCGCTGAACTAGCTTCCTGTCCTGCCTTGCTTCTGTTGCTTGCTGTTGCATGCTGGGATAAGCTCTGGATTCCCCATGATCCTGTATTGGATAAATTGGTTAGAAAATGGATGGGTGGAAAATATGATAGAGTTTATTGTACTGTATATGCCAAAGTACAGTAAATTGTTTCATTTAAAGGTGCTATACTGTTACATAGGTCTAAGTGATTCAGTGCCCACTAAGTTTCTTAGTCTTTTTGGAATGCTTTCTGGATTAAATGGTTGCAGCTCAGACAAGGTAACTGTTACCATACTACTTGTGATGAGGGGAGCAAAGTATTCTACTCATCCAAGCAAAAAATGCTTTCACTCCATTCCTGAAAGTAAATATTTTGAACATGGTACTAGAAGATTAGAAGTGCTATCCAATGTCTCTACAAAACTTTGTTCTTATTTTGATTTTCTTAGTGGAATACTCTGTGTTGCATCACAAAAGCAAGCTAGACCTTGGTGTCACTCAGTCAGCTGTGTTTAGAATGGAAGGTGGTGCCATCAGCTCTGCCAATAGAAAATTAAAATATTTTTACGTCAAACTGCAGCTCTATTTAATGATTGAGACATTCCTGCAGATGTCAGGGGCGAACAAACTGAAAAAACAACTTTCCAGGTTCATTTACAGTAAACCGAAGTTCAAACACACTGCAAAAAAGACCTAAAAACCATAGCAGGACATCATACAACACAACAGTGTGAGTCTTTAAAAAACACATTTACAGAAATACAGCATTTGCTATTCATATTCTTCTAAATGTTACAAAAATGTTTTGAGAAGGAAAGGTGAAAACATTTTATATTTGACCCATAATAGTTCTTCGGCATGCAATTTTCTGTCCAGTTGTCTCGAGTTATATATTTCTGTCATTAATATCCTTACATACTGTAGGCCTCAGCCTATAAACTCTGCAGTCAAAATATACATTAGAATTCTAAACGACTTGGAAAATCATCTCTTTGAAATACAGGATGCAACAAGTTCCAATGAACACTAGGTTTCTATGCAGTGTTAAGAGCTGGAGATATTTTTCTAACTCACTGTATTCACACTTTCACTTCTTTCTAATGAAAATATTTATCCATTCTGCTTAGTAAGCTTGTAGAAATAGAAGCCTGGCACAATGGCTCAATAAGTAGAAGACGTATGTACTCTAGAGAGCCCTGATAAGATCAGAACTAATTTGTAGAAGGTGATGCTTTGGCTGCTTGTTTGTTTGAGTGGTTGTTGGGAAAAGATAAAACAAGAACCTGGCATATTTTTTTGTTTTGTCTATGTCTATGGGTAGCCATACGTGTAAGCAGAAATATAAGAACATAAAGTTGAAAGAATAAGTCCCTAGCTTGTTTGTTTATTGGCTGTCAAT